TTGAAAAGTGATTCAGCCATTTGTAGTGTTTCAACTCAAAATCGCAAAACGAAAACTATAATCCCTTAGGGAAAAAGCCCCTCTGGACTAATAACTTTAAAAATGGGATTGCAGTTGAAGCAGAAAAGAAAAATTAAGTAAACGTGTTGCTCTTCGTCAGATCATAGACCACAATTTGACACAATCGATTTCTTTTCTGACTTCTGGAGGAATTTGAAAACATTTTGGAAAATTTCAAAGGTCGATAATTGAAAACAAAAGCAAAATTTATTTAGAAAATTTCAAAAAGCAAAACATTAATTAGAAACAAAAGCAAAATTCATTTCAGAAACATGTCTTCTAAAAATGATTAGAACAACAATATCGAATACAAAACAAGGAATGAATAACGAAAAACAGCAAAATTATCCAAGGTTTAGCACTAAAATGGAAAATTATAAAAAATATGTTTTTAAAAAGAAGGGAAGAAATGTGCATTCGTTTCAATCTTCTTTTCGAAATAATCAAAAAATATACTTAATTATAAAATTTATAAAGATTCCAGAAACAAACTCTGTTAACATGGTGCAACGGAGAAAAATAGCATGATGCTAAGCTAAAGGAGAATTCAATAATGCAATAAAAAATAACACAAATTTTAATAATACTTCTGAAAGCCTAAATTAAGCCAAGGAACGTTTGGAAAGGAACAATGTTTTTCAAACAAAAAGTATTTGCTGTTATTTTAATCAAATGGGAAATTTGCAAAAAACCGTATAACAAAAATTCAAACCTTCAAAACAGCAGTAATTAAGTTGAAAAATTGGATTTTAAAACAGAAGTTATAAGATACGAGCAAGAAATAAAAAGAAAAATCGAAGAAAAAAAATTTTACTTTTAAAATGAAGTACGAAGAACATTCAAATAGGGGAAGTATAGAGTTGCCAAATCACAAATGGTAATAATGAGTTGAGTCGAGTTGTAAATTCTAGCAAAATGTAAGAGGAACACTAAATTTACTACTAGAGGAATACTGATGAACAAAAAACATTAAATACGAAACGATTTAATTGATTCGAAAAATATGTAATGAATATGTTATATCATATTTGATCGCATTTTCAATCTTGTCTGCTTACGAATGTTATACGAATATCGATAAGAGAATATTATGCCTATAAGGTAATTTCCGAAGGACGCGGTTATAGTACGATGATAACAAATGAAAAATATTCGAGGATAAGCTACTGGTAATTATAATAATACTATTTACATAAAAGAAACCTATACGTTTATCCAAGTTACAGCATATTCATCTTAACCTGACTTCCTTCTACATAATGGTTAAAATTTACAAATATGATGGCCTCTGTACAAGCAAGTGACACTTCAAGACGGATGCTCGCATTCCGAGCCCCATAATACATTTATTGGCCAATATTTAATTTGTCCTGGAAAAAAAAATAATATCTACACTGATTTAAATTATTTTTGGTAAAAATATTTTAGGTAAAACACTAACAAAGCAGCACTGCAAGCCACATTTTAAACAAAATATGCTGTTTAATAGAAACGTGCGCTTGCATACTTATTAAAAAAGAAATTTTGTGATTTGAGAATAATGGAGCCATACGAATTATATTCCCATTCTGAATATATTCGATCATCAAAGACTCTTCCTACATATGGCTAGCCTCTGTAACATTGCAGAATGGCATAATAATGCCTTTAATAGGGATGGTAACTAACATAGCTGCACAACCTCAATCATATGAAAAACTACCAAGAATGTCAGGCTATTATAAGGCATGATTCCGCGTACTTTCATGTCAGGTGCGGAAGTAATGCGATGCTTCAAAACATCGATAGATTTTTATACTCTAGTCAGAACTTCTCTATATGTGCAAGAAAAAGCTATTGCTTTCTGTGCGATCCGAATTCCTTCCTTGAAATCCACGTAACTGTATAGACATTTGCCGATATTTATTTCAGGAAAAACCGCTACAGCTCAGCTGACCACATCCCTGTCAGATGACTACATATAGACGTCATCTGTGAATGTAGATGCCACGGATTTTAAATCGCTGTTGTTCTTTCAATCACATTATTGAGAAGCACTATCCGGCAAGTAAATACTTGCTCTTTTATCCTCCTTCTATAAGCCAGTGGTACCGTACACTGATCGGCTGAAGCAAGCGGTCTCTTACAGCCCGACGATAACAGCCTCCATAACTTCGTTTTGTGTGTACGCATTCATATCCAATGTAAAGGCATCAATCAGTACAGTTCACAAGTTTTCACACACCCACAATCAGTTAGAAGAATGTTGATGCTCTTGATGTGCTTTCTGTGACCCAGGTTCTCTTTCGCTGTGGCATATCACTATTCGGATTCTGCTTGATATTTTATATGCATATGTTATATACATTTTAATGTTTAAAATGTATTTATATCATTAAATTTTTTAATTTAAATTGTGATTGATTGAGAGAACGATGAAAGCCCTCAAGCGAGGAAAAAGAATGAATTTTCCCTCAGGATGAGTCAGTTTTCAAATATATGTTCGTGAAGAACAATAATGAAAATTATACTCAGTTGAAAACAATTTGTATGGAAACACGTTTTTATGTAATATAAGATATTTATTCTGCCTTCTTAGCATGTCTTTGTAGCGTAATGGTCAGCACTTTCGACGCTCGAGAGGTCCGTGGTTCGAGTCCCAGCGAGGGCACTGTTCCTTTTTCCTCTCTCCTGTACCTAATGTCTCTACAGTGGCGCCCGAAATCAAAAAGGTGGTGGATGATGAATCTCCATCACCAGAATTTCGTGATTGGATCTCCTAATCCACAGTCGCTTTCTCCCACCTTCTTAGCATGCCTTCGTGGTCTAGAGGTCAGTACGCTTGACGCGTATTCGAAAGAATCGTGGTTCGAGTCTCGGCAAGGGCATTGCTCCTTTTTCATCTAGCCTCCTTTCAAAAAATACCTAATGTCTCTACAGTAAGAAGAACAAAAAATCTGACGATTAGTCATGAATAATGTTAGAAGTGGCCACAGCCGCCAAATGCATTGTATCATTAACTTTTACAACAACAATACAGACCATATAATCATCATAATATTTCTACATCATAATATTTCTACATTTATATGTAAGTATACATATAAATGTAGAAATTCTTTTTAATTATTGTTATGTTTTTACTTCAATCTATTTAAAATACTACAGGCATATATTTAACGAGTAATCCTTTAACAGAGTTTTGCTAGATAATTCTAGAAACGTTTCGTCCATTTCTGGAGTTTAAAATTTTAACGAAAAGACCATATCCCACACATTCGGTACAAACGAATGAATATTTTTAGTTAAGAATTATTACCTTCTAAGTCGAGATATCTCAAACTATGAAAGATGTACGATAAAGAAATTTCCTGAAACAAATTTCTTCTTAGAGAAGTTTCTATAACCTCCATGTCATTTTGAGACTGCGAAAACGATTGCGGAATAAGGTCGAATTCAACGATTCTCATGTTGAACATATTGTATTAGAAATATGTAACTACCTTCAGTCATGAAATATGTGCTGCTTCTGTATCTTTTCGTTAAATAATTTTTTTTTAATTGCACACTCAGTGCAGTTTTTTTTGTATGCATCAAGAAATCTGTGCTATATTATGATTATTATTTTTTAACTTCGTCTTAAGTCACATAAAACGATATTATAATCTTTATACGGTCCACGGACTTGCATTTCACCGCTACCGACGTACACAAATAATTATTAAGCAAAACTCAAATAAAATTAATTATTTGATAATTTTTTTGTTTTTAAGAATATGCTGATTCAAGTTTCGCTTTAAAATGAGCTCATTCATACGTTCATCTTTGCATGAATACTTGGAACAACTTTTCACTTTAAAGATTTTTCATACCACACATTCACTTGTTAGAAAGTTAAGAATATTTAATGTAAGGATAAAAACTTTAAATAGTTGGGAAATTTTCTTTATGTATATATCGATCAAATAGGATGTTGCAAAACGCTTTCGCTTATCAGAAACTACCTACTATATATATCAGTAAAAGTAGTAGGTAATAGAATATTTGTAAAGAGTGAAAGGCAGAATTTGAAGAATTTATTAAAACAGAAGAAACACATTATTATTATTATTAACATGTATTGTTTATATTATTTATAATTTATTCAAATATGTGTGCTTGTTTCATTGTATTTTGTTAGTTTTTATACATTTTATAGTGTTGTCTAATTTTTGTATTAGTTACTTTAAAGTCTTTAAAGTACTTTATATAACAATTTTGATTTTTTTTATTTATTTGAATTTCACGTCCATTTCTTGGCTTAAAGGGCATATTTCGTGTGTTATGCTGTAGATCTTTTAATTACGCATTGCTAGATTCTAGCATTGCAAAGATAGTTCAACTAGAACGCAAGGTGTGATAGAAACCGTTGTAGTGGGAATTTTGTGGTATATCGAGAACTATCGATGTGGTATATCATAATCGGACTCAAAGCTGGCACTGCGCCAGGCATCGAAGAGCGCGCAGTAATAAGAAAATGACTGGAATGCAAAAAATAGCTGTAGATATAAGTGTGTATGCGAGTGATGATATATTTTGTACGTATAAATAAAAGTAGCATGTAGAGTAAAAGAGTGTGTCTTGTGAAATAATTACTCACAAAAGGTTACACGGCAATTTTGCGACAACTTATATCGTCCTATTCCTGACATTAAGCGATTTCTTTTCAATTTGGTGACATTCAGGAAGTTTCAGGAAAATTTATTTTCAGAGCCTTGGAGCAATTTTTAGTAGCTTCCAAATTTGTTTGGATAACTCGGTATATAAAGTTGTGTTGGAGAAAAGATTAAATTACTCAAAGTGATGCGGGATTCTAACTCGTTTCCGAAAATTAAATTTATTTGCCAACGAATTTATGATACCTGTTAATTCCAATTCGTGTGCCATTAATCGGAGGTTGAAAACTTTTATTGTTTATCAATTTTAAACAGTAAGAAATTCTCGAATGTGCACGTGAAAAAAATACATTCCTTTTTGTCTCACCTTCCGAAAAGCCTTTTCTGCTTCTTCATACATCTGCAGGTGGTGGAACGTTCTTCCCACGTTGATGTGGGCTCCGATGTCATCTGGTTGAACACTGCGTAGAGTACATTTTTACTCAATTTTGAAAGGCAAATAATAGGTAGTACACTGAATTTATACGTAGTACACTGGAAGTATCATTATGCAGTATTCTACAGATATTTCAAAAGGAGGCATACAGTTCTTCGAGGGAAAGGGAGATGTACTAAATCGAACCGAACGTGACAGTGCAGTCCGTTTTAGGAAGTATGAATCAAATAAGACTGGCTTTTAGACAACCACAGGTGATAAAGTATTTATTAAAACTACCAGATTTAAATTTTATACGAGTCCTCAAAAACGAAAGAAGAAATGCTTTTGCATAGCATAATTAATCGAAAAATCTACTTTTCACCCAAGTATAAAAATTGTTAATTATATATTTCTGGAATTGCGGAACTGCGAGAAAAATATAAACTAGAATAAGGTTTCAATATACCATTTGTAGAAATGTGGCATATCAAAATGTATATTTAAAGTACCTGGTCAGGTACGCATTTTACCTGGTTTCTAAACGTTTATGTGTTTTATCAGGAAGACGTATTTTAAGTTACGTAATTTTGACTTCTTTAGGTAACATTTAGGTGTTATTTATTAGGTGTTACGTAATATTTATTAGGTGTTACGTGTTATTTGTTAGGTCTTACGTAATAAGTTATTTAAAAACCCAATAACAGAATAAGTAACGGCAATCGTAATTGTGATTTTATATAGAATGCAAGGGTATATTAAATAAAGGCTGTCATGTTAAACACCTGCAGTAGCTTGTTTCTTAGATAAGAAGCACGAAAGAACCACCGCGCTTTAAGCAAATATTTATTCTTACTACCTTCTCAAAGCATTTAGTCTAGTGAATCAAGTAAATTTTAAAATGGCATTAGAAAATCGCGACTTTTGATAGTGCAGAAAGAACACATTTTGATAGTGCAAAGCGCATTTTGATAGTGCAGAATGAACGCATTCTTTGGATTTGAGGTCATGCACTGTTAAATTTCATCTGATGGGTCTTCTAATGCAATTTGTTTGGATAACTCGCACTCGATAAAGTGGATTCCACGCACTTTTACTACCATTATTGATGAACAGTGCTTTAATATTTCGGTACTTAATTTTTCCTACCTTGTATGGAAAAAATTATTTGTATGAACACTGTGAAAATTCAAGTATCTTCATTTCTTAGCCTTAACTTTTACACTGTCTCAGAAACAAAAATGAAAGGCATACATCTTTGTTGTTAAAGCACATAGAAAAAATTTAGTTTTGGTGAATTTCGTTTTTGTTCAATGACAGCATGATGGCTTTTGTCGCCCATAACCATCATTGTAATGATTTAATATTTTCTACGATTTCTGTTAAAACCTATTATGCTTTATAAAAGTAAAATGTTTTTTAATGTAAATTAATTGTTAGGTTTTAAATATCAAGTTACCATAAAACTTTCTACGTACATTTTAGCTATAGTAATAAAGAAAAAATATACCATAAAATAAAAATTATATCGGAAAATAATATATATTTGCTGGTTATTGTTTTGTAAGTTGAAATTCCTCCAGGTTTACATTATAATTATCATATGTTTACTGTCCACAATATGAAGCAAACTAAGGAGTTAAAATACAGTAATTTTCATTTCTGATTATGATTTTTATTGCTACTAAACTATGTACTATCTTAAAACTGAATCTTTCTAATGAACTGCGAATACCCGGTTTAATAATAGAATGACTTTCAGTTATCTGTCTATTTTCTTATACGACGATCCAGCGACTGCCGGATAAACGAAGTTCTGAAGCCAAGCATATTGAGCGTTGCTTGATGTATTGAAACTTATTAATTAAGATTTTATTCTCTAGTAAAAATAAATATTATTTTTACTAGAGAATAAAAATTGTTCATATATCCCAATTGGCTTTTTTTATCTTTAGTGAAAATGTGTACACCTCCTTTTGAAAGGCTTCTGTAATATAATCGAAGAAAACAGAAAATATTAACTTTTCATGAAATTCCATTTATAGGTATTAATACACGATAATATTACCTGACGGCTCTTTGAAAATATTCCAAGGCTTCTAAATGTTTACCATGGCTCTCTAAAGAGTGTCCAACATTGTTGTAGAGTTTGGCATTCCGTTGGTTTACTCGAATACCAGCCATAAAAATAGTATACTCATCTTGCCTGGAAATGTTATAGTACTTTACTTCGTTTAACGCAATTAACAAGCCTTCAAATACACAAAATACATAACAGTAATTAATATTAATCGAAAGTATTAAAAACTATCACATAAAGAGAGAAACTGCGAGAAATCTTTAGAATTAAAGCAAAAACTTCTTTAACAAGGTTAATGTTTTTTACTATGCCGAAATACAAGAACACATTGCGGGGACCAGCACTGATGTTTGTCATGATTAGCCATTGCACTTAACTCTCTTCTAAGTTCTAGTATTTATTACAGATATGGGCTCGTTGGTTAGTTATTTCATTAAAGCAAAGCATAGGCTTTTCACCTAAGGAATGGACTCCTGCTATGCATGGCTTTCTCTAGGAAACTGGCATCTGTTAATTTGCCCATGGGAAAACTTACAAAAATTTCCATGCATTCCAACCTTTCACTGGGATTTCAAATCGAGTCGAACTATCAGTGTTTTCGATTTTAACCATTCGGCTACTGGTGTACCCGGCAGTTACAGAAATTTATTAATCAAGTATAACCGAATATGACCTTTTGGAGAAGAAACTAATTTTATACATGCTATTAGCAACTAAATATCCTCAGCAGAGTTATTTTAACTTTTCTTTAAATCAATTCCCAAATACACGATTAATAAGGTGATAGTTTTCCATTATTTAAAGAAGCAATATTTACATGTGAGCAAAAAGATGAACGTAGAGGGATTGGACAATGAGAGTGCAACATACATATGCCATGTAATATATAGTTAACAGATGTAGTCTTACTTTGGAGACCAGTACTTTCACGATTCTTCTGAAAATGATAAAGACTATCTAGGTCATTAAAGGTAATTTTATCTTTCCTTTTGCAAAATAAATGGATAGTTTACATTGTGATGCTAGAAGAGGAAAATATTCTCTTAACTCCTTCTGCTAGTATATTCTAGAATGGCTCATTGCTGAGTTATAGACATCAAGAAAGATGTCCGAACTCATTTTCATGTTCTTCAAACAGTCCGTTGCCAGTTTCGTGGCGTAGGCTGATGCGTTGTCGTTTTGATACAAGTCCCTCTTCACTGTTCAATGCTTGAACTAATATAGGAACGTGATAATTCAAGAATTCTATGAATGCCCTATCATTCTCAATATTTGATATCAGTGCGTTCTCGAATGCAGCTAAAAATTTAATCGTCATAATCTTCATTTGCAAAAGATAAAGCTTAAAATTATTCAGGGTTGTTAATCGGATGTTGAGTGAATGATTTCAAGTAATCAAGCCAATTCTCAGCGTTGAGGCCTACGTGTGCTAGAAATTCAAGGTGGCATACTGGCCATGTCATTCAGTTTCAAAGCCCAAATCCTATATGTTATCTATGAAATGGAAAGGAAGTATAAAAAATATGCATTACGTTTTTTACTACACTAAGCACAATTTCCTTAAAAGTTGACTTTAAGAAAAATAAGATACTATTCGTTTAAGAACTCTTCGTTCTGATATCTTCTTTTTCATCAAACCTTAAAAAATCAGAAAGTGTAAAATAAGTGTAAAATAAATGAATGGAAGAAAGAAATATTTTACTTCTTACCAATCGAAATTACGATGGACGGTTTTAGCAGCATACATGAAAATAACAAGGAGTATCAGACACCATGACAGAGACTTGAACTTTCTAAACAATAAAACATACATCCATATATGTAACTTTGTGTATTAGTACTAAAAACAAACTTTCAAATTCAAAAATCAAATTGTTTAGTATACCTTAATTTGACATTTCTTGTGTTGACCCGAACAACCAGGTTTAAGCTCATTTTCAAGTTAATTATTTAAGTTAATTTTAAAGTTAATTTTTAAGTTAATAAGTTTTTCATGTTTAGGTTTATTCATATTAATTCTTGAAATGATTCCTGCCCCATTTACTCTTGCTGTGATTCAAAACGAATTTTAGAAAAATACAGAAAACTTGAAGACTCACGCTAACTTACTTAATATATTTTAATGAAATGAACCTCAAGAATAAAGAGTTTTAAATGTGAATTCGTTTCTTTATTTTTATTTCTTAATAAAATTGATTTGTTTCTCCTTAATAAATCAAGGTGTTCTTTTCATCAAATGGAGATTTCAACTTTTGCTTTAATTAAAAAATTTATTTCTTATTTTTTTCTTCCTTTTATTCTCCTGCGAGAAATTCGAGAATCTTTTAGTATTCGATGTCGACAAAATTTAGAATTCATTTCACATCTTCTTTTCTGTTTTACGTTTTCATGCCATTTTTCAGTTTGCTTATTCCCACAATTGACTCCTTCAGTTACATACATTTAACAACAATAATAGAAGGGCGGAGCAGTTTAAGGTTGAGAAAGTAACCAGCTTGCATTATTGTGATTCTGTCACACTGCGTGACCTTCTTTGAGACTTAACAGTGCGAAGCAAAGATTGATTAGAAGAACAACAATTCACCATCAAGGTGAATTGCAGTCAAGATTATACCTGAGAATAAAATAAACCTGGTACGTCTTCAGCTAAGAGCTGCTAATTGTTGTCCCGATCATTACTTAATTTAGTATTGCTTCTTGTAATCCGAGCAATCAATTTTTTTAAGTTTCCTTTTATTTTTATTTAAAATATATGTGGTAACGGAAGATAATTTAGTTATATAACTTCTGCACTGTACTCTTTTGAAGTCTTATTATCAAAGGAGAACACGACCTTGGAATCATCAATTTCACAAAAGCATTGCATCATGATAAATCATCTTGAAGTTAATATATACATACATACATGCAATGACAGCTCGTATATCTCACAAACATGCAAAAAAATTTAGACTAAAATTTTAAGTATTATTCACATTATTTCAGTTCCTTTTCTAGCCGCCTAGACGGTACAGTGTTTAAAGGATCCTACTGCGATTCCGAAGTCTCCGGATTCAAATCCCGGAGATGGCACGGTTGTTTGTAAATGTATAGCGTCTGTGCGGCATGGGGGTACTCTAAATAGGCGGCGAACTGAAAGTCCTCTCGAGAGGTTAGTGGTAGAGGATGAGGGGTGGGAGATCTTCGGACCCGCCCGTGCTCTACATGAAAACTGGGAGCGAAACTGAGGGAAATGATTAGCCGAAGAACGTTGAAAATCTTGTATATGGGACTGCTATAATACCTAGCTGTGCACCTCCCTTTTTTAGTACAATCGCATGCACCAAACATATACCCACCCTTTTACCCGGCTCAGTCAGCTCTGCTTTTATTCTTCTATGTTATTTGCTTTAAAAGTAATTGGATTATGTTGTTCCGGTTAAGGGTTTTATGTATTTAGTTAATCTGCATGAAATAGTTTCAAAATTATCAGCAGTTTCAAAACGTAGGTGGAGCTAAACCTAATGTGGCGTGAATTTGTTTACATTTGAAATTTTTAGTAGTAAAGTGAATTACGTTAGTTGGTGCACCAATTTCAGTTAGATTCAGTCAATTTTGTCAAATTACTCTCTATTATTACTCTTAGCGTCTGAGTTACATGAATCGGCTTTTGTCTTGCTAGCCGTAATTACTTCCATGGTATCCCATTTAGAGCTCTTTGAGGCCGTTTTTTCCCTTTTGTAAGTGTTCTGTACTGAGCGCACTTAAATGCAATATTTCAGCCTTTTTATTTTTAACTTTTCATTTTACTTTGTGGGTAAATTAAAGTGCATAATAAACACCCATTTCACCCGGAAAGAAAGACATATTCTTTGTCAGAATACCATACAGTAAATCTATTAAGAGGATAGTCGTCAAAAACTCATTCCTTTATATAAGGTTTAAAATTCTTTTCTACAATGAATGTTGCACATTTAAAAAGACTCTAAAATGATAAACCTATTTTATTAAACACTGCGACAATAATACCATTCACGATTTTCATGACACATTAAAAACATTGTTATACTTTACCTCTATTCAATTATATTTTATTATATATTATCTATTCTATTATTAGTTCAAAGGGGCTTTGTCCCTGAAGGACTATATTTTTCCTTATGCGATTTTGCGTCGATTCATGACAAACGGCGAATCACTTTGCAAACTGTTGCCACAAAGTATTATCGCACTGTGTTATATTTAAAGAAATTAAATAATGAAAAATCTGGATAAATGTATGTATATTTCTCCCATTGTGAATAAAACAAAGGTACATAGAGCCATCGAATTTTGAATGACGTCATCCTCCTACGAATATGGGCATGTAGAAGACCAAGTTTAAAATTTGGAATTTGTTTTATTATCGATTTCCTATTTTGTAAACAAATCCTTGAGTATTAACAAACTCAAGGATTTCAAAGCAAGCAATGGCAACGTTGTACAGAAAAAACAATTTTATCTCCAGCGCGTGAGTCTCTGTATCGAAAATTCTAAAGATATGCTCATTTTAAAACTATTTTTTGCGATATTGCTGTTGAACTGAATTTTATGGTTTAAGCGCGAAGAACGTGATATTTAATAAATAAATGTAACACACAAAATGTTAAAAAAACGCCCCTTTGGACGTAATTTAAAATATGAAACATTTCAGATTTTATTTTTTATATTTATTTTTTATTTATTTATTTTTGTTGTTGTTAAGTTAGGCTTAATGCGTTGGTTCAATTAATTATGAAACTTTTACATTATTTCGCAGCGCTATTGTAAAGAAGCCGTGGTGCACAGCTTAGGAACTTTTGAAACAAACTTACGAACATTGAAAACGTTTAACAATCATATTAACAGCCTGGTATTCGAGAGATGAGAACTAACTTCCCCTAAATATTCCTTTGTGCAAAAATAAATGGGACAAAGTTGGTTTTTTTTTTTTTTTTTTTTTTTTTTTTTTTTTACATAAATGAAGTGGTTTCCAGCTGGTGACAGCAGGGTCTTCAAAGCAGTTTTATTTGCCTTAATGTCGTCTGAATGTCTGCTTTCAACTATGTAGAACTGGTGTAAACAATAAAATAGAATTATTGCAAAGTATCTAAGCTTGTTTCTGTGATATGTAGGAGGTTTAGAAATGGTCGTATTTACAATTTAATGAGATTTAATGAGAATTTGGGTTTAGAAAATTTAATGAATTTGGGTTTAGAAAAATCGTGGCTTGTATCTTGCTTAAGCTTTGCTTATATTCGAGAATCTCATGTATGTAAATGGAATCTTTCTGGTTTTTCAACTATGGCAGACATCCATGTATCAAAAAAGGATTTTCTAGGACTTACTGGAACTTACGATGTGATGTTATCCGGACTTGTATTCCTCTTGACTTGCTTTGGAAACATGAATGATCTTGACTCGGAACAGGGAGCTTACTCAAGCTATGTTCAAGAACGTGTGAAGTAGACAATACAAGCAGGAAGGGTGTACGAAAACCTTTATTTTCAATCTTTACAGGAATTTCCGAAACTTCGGAATATAGAGACCAATCACTTGTGATCTGAACGTAAGAATATAAAAACTACTAATTAAACTAACTAAAACTAACTTTCAATTAGTATACAAGTGCCTAGCATTAAGATTGGCCTTTATTTTAACAAAGGTCCGTATGCAGTACGCCGAGCTTCTAAAACTACGATACGTTTGCAATTATGAAGAGGACTAAACCTCTGGCCTTGAAGGCAACCAGCAACCGAGTGAAAACTCGTGAAACTACAATGGTAAATGGCTTGCTTCCAATAACTCCTTCCTCTCTCTTGCTTGGCAAAAAGCTACAACTTAAGTACTTGGCGTTAGCAAGACAATTAGCATAAATAAGTTGAAGCGTTTAATTCTGGCCGGAAATAGAAAATAAGAAATGATAGTAAAGATTTAAAATAAAATAAACGTTAGTAAAACATAGGATCCTTACATACTTCCCGCCAGAGATAATTAGTTTGAAACTGAGGTCTAAAACGACCTTGTTGAAAACTTTTAGCTCTAAAACTAACGCGAGGCCAATCTTTTACAAACATTTCTCACTAGAAACTATCTAATCTAGAAATTAAAAAGTCGTTTTTACATGAACAACTCCATGGACAATTACTTTTCATCTGTACTGCATCTATAAACAGGAGTTTCTTAGTTGAATCTGGTTCCTTCCAGAGATCTGGAAGGAAAACTAGTTTAATGAAATGTTAAACAATAAAATGGCAAGTAACATGAATACTTACATTTCTGTTTTAACATTTTTATTTCATTCATGACGTTATTTAATTATCTCCCCGTGCTCTCTGACATGTGTTGTAAAGGAAAACACCAAACACGAGCGTGTTTATGTACAAGTGTTCAACACTACCGCCTGCAATCAAAACACTAACATGTTAAAATTCAACATAACAAGACCTCATAACACACCTTATATTCATCTCTGAACCCTGAGGTACTATTCTGAAAAGTGGCTAAATCTGAAGTGTAGCGTCAGAGAGCCTAACTACATTCACTCAACCTTTAGCACATATTCACAATAATTTGCTCTTTTTACAGTCATACCAATAAGTTAAAATTTTGGCATTACTCTGATAATTTCACTTTTAACATATCACAGTATTTCTTAACTTTTAAGATAACAGTTTACATTGTACATAAGGACATATTAACATGCCGTTAATTTTACGCATTTTAAAACATACATTAGTAGTACATTGTTTGTTAACTTCTATTCTTTTCCAAGCAAGTGCTAATTCTTCTACAT